AACCTAGACCATTAATTCTTTATAAATCGAGTTTTTGGTAAAACATATAGTTTCTATGAACCAAGAAGCTATTTTGGTAAATCAGGGTCTTAATGGTATGTCTCATTTCACACAATTTCTCGCGTTAACGCCTTTGTGCGCCTCGCGGTCGTGCACGTGCCTAATTTTCTTGAGTGCTCTTGAAGCATCGTCAGTGCTTCATGGAAACGGCCCCACTTCACACTCATATAAGTGATATCATCAAATGTGTCCCACACTTAACACATCATCCATCAGGGCTGTGATAATTACTTCCTCCGTCCCAATTTATTTTGCAAAATTTCCTACTTTCGTTGGCTCAAAACGATTTTTCACTTTCCATTATAAGTATAGAAACATCAATAAAGTGACAACTTTACCCTGGTTTCTTAGGCTTCTAATTTCCATCCCACTTACCCACGCGCACCCGCCTCTTATCTCTTCCACCACCTTCTCTCTTCCCCTCATAGGGGTGTTTGGAACCAATTCTGATTCTGCTTCTTTTTTAAAGTAGAAGCAGAATCAGAATCAGTTTTCAGAAGCTGGTCCCCCCAGCTTCTAAAAAAACTGATTCTAGGAGTAAATTAGAGCACCAGAATCACTTCTGCACTTTCACCCAAACACCCCCATATTCAATTTCCATTTTACGGCCTCCATTTCTGTAAAATAGTCTCACACGGTCACACCTTCTCCATAGCCAAAGAAATTATTTCCCTTTTTGAAGGTGAAGAAGGATAAAGAGAAGAGGCTCCCTCTTGGTCCATCAAGTCCGGCTCCACTCTGGTTCACCATCTGAAAATCCCCAGGTCCGACGTGCCTCTTTGACAAACTTCATCTCAGGTGAGTCACCGCCGACTGCCGTCCTTAGAAACTCCTTCGAACTTATTAATGAGATATTTGCTTCGCGGACAACCGTGGGTCGGTTGGAGGCTTGAGTAGTTGTTGGGGATGATGGAGAGGCAGAACAAGTTGTAGGCCTGGGCGGGTTTGTGTTGATAACTGACTAATCGTTGATGAAGAAGGAAAAAGGAAGAGCAGTGTGGACTGTGCAGTTTGCCCTACAGATGTTGTACTTGGGCTAAAATTTTCATTTTTACTTTTTTTTATTTGTTTTAAAAAAGGGGCAAAATGGTAAAGTAAATATCAATCTACACACTTTCTTAATCCATGCAGGTCAAGTTGACCTGGTCAACTTTTGCCATTCAGATCAGAACAGGGGAGTAAGAGTTTTAGCTCAGTCTCACAAAGGAGTGGCCAACTCCTTGTGACTTCACAAAAATAATGAAGATGACTCCATTCTTATGTCATTAGACATTTTTTTATTCCTTAAACATCATTGCACCATTTATAAGAATAAGTGGGTATTCAATATTTTACTTTATCTAATATGAGTCGATTCAAATGGCTTCCTCGTATCCCACTCATACAATGAGTAACTTTGAATAAAATATAGCATCAATGTGAGTACATGGAATAATTTTCGATAAAACATAACATCGTTTATCCTTCTTGTACAACAGGGTAATTCTCCATAAAAAATAATAATAACATGATTGTAACATTGCGGTATAATGCATGATTCTCAATACAATATACTTTCATTGTATCTCTTTTGTACAATGGTATAGCTCACCGAATACATTTTTTGTGTTTTTCGAAGAGTTTTTTACAAAAATATTAGTAAAAAATAAAACTTATTTACATAAATATGACTATTAGTTATTACGGAGCACAATGTAGCGTCGTAGTAACTTAAATTTAAAAAATGAACATAAGTTACTATGATTTCATTACTACTCTAGTGACTAATCACATTTTTGTAAAGTCTTTATTTATGAAAATATGTAATTATTTCTTTTTTGAATTTCATCTCAATCTTCCGATAATTATGTCGGGTCTCACATAGTTTGTTAATTTTTAACAAACTCACACTTTGAGCATCAAGATAGATTTCTATAAAATCAATATATATACTTCCTCCGTCCCTTAATACTTTGCCAAGTTTGACCGGTACGAGGATTAATAAAGTAAAAAGTGTGTGATAGAGGTTTGTGCAAAGGAGAGAGAATTCATTATATCCACAAATTCTTTACTTAAAATGGAAAGTGACAAAGTTAGTGGGACATCCAAAAAAGGAAAGTTGGCAAAGTTTTAAGGGATGAAGGTAGTATATAAAAGAGAAACTTTTTAAGAGCATACAAAGCGCCACATAATCCTGCCATGTCATTATATATAACAATTATTTACTTATTTTTATACCTTTTGTTTTTATTAGATTCTATTTTTGATTGCATATTGATATGGAAACAAAAATCCTTATAAATCCACCTTAATTAATTTGGTAAGCTTCAAATAAGTAAAATAATTTTTGGTTATCGAAGTGATATGAAATTCTAATAACGTTTATTGATATGAAAACTAATTTATACTCCTTCCATTTCCAAAAAAAAGTCATGATTTGAGGTCACGATTATTAAGGAATAAATTGACTTTACTGTAGAAATCACTGTTTAGACACTATTTGGCACTGTTTGGATGTAAATTTCTTTGTCAAATAAGAAAATAAAGGAAGTGTGACTTTGTTTTTGAAACATCTCAAAAAGGAAAGTGTGAGGGAGTATTAGTTTACTACACCGAATTAAATAGAAACAAATATGCAAATTAGTTTACTTAATAATTTGACACCTATTAATAAATTAGTAAGCTTCAAATAAGTAAATAATTAAAAATGAAATTAAAAATTATAACCAACATAAAATATATATATATTCACAAGTAAATATGTTTAACTTAGCCAAATAAGTAAATTTTTTGGTTGTTTCTTTATTTTACACCTAAAATTCAAATATGCCTTCACTTTTGAAATAGATTCCTAATCCAAATTAGAAAATCTTTATAGGTTTACGAATTCCTACTTTTATTTTAATAGAATGTTTTTAATTGGATTGATTTCAGTTCCAGATTAAATCAGATCAGATCAAACTTTAATAATTATAACAATAAGTCACATAAAAAACAGACATCTAATAGACCATATTAATTCATACCAAATAAAACCCGAAATTTTAATTCAATTAAAAACGTTCTTATTAATGAGTAAACTGTAAGATCTAACAATTAAGAAATGTAAATTTTTTTTATTATTGGGTTCATAACAATTTAGTTTACTTAAGATGCTTATATAGTAGACCAATTTAACTTTTTTTTTCATATATTTTTTTCTTTGTTTCACAAATGGAATATATTTCACATATATTTTTCATGATTCAGAAGATTCCACCTATTTAACCAGAATTCAATCAATTTCAGCAAAATAAGTTAATTCTTTTTACTTTAGTATTATCAAACAGACTCTATATTAGACTAACTTTATTTTTCTTTTAAATCACATTATATGTGATCCGATAGAAATTAAATTTCAAATTAGCTAAATTACATACTGATACTACCCGTGCGATATAAGACTACAAATTATTGTCTTAAATTCAACTCCATATAGCTCCACACTAAATGAATAATAAAAGATGACACAATTATTCACACACACAATTAATTTCGAAATCCACCACATTAATTAGTACCCGGTATAATAGACTACGTATGTAAAAGCACCGCACACATGCACAACAAATATTGTATGTAAGAATGTCATACATAGCATTACTATGAGCAGATGTAAAATTGTTCAAGTACCCCACATTTTGAATAATTTATACTCCCTCCGTTTCTAAAAGAAACTCACACTTTCCTTTTTGAGATGTTTCAAAAACAAAGTCACACTTCCCTTATTTCTTTATTTGGCAAAGAAATCTACACCCAAACAGTGCCAAAAAGTGCCAAACAGTGCCAACCAGTGTTTTCTACAGTAAAATCAATTTATTTCCTTAATAATCGTGAAGTCAAACCGTGACTTTCTTTTGGAAACTGAGGGAGTATATAAATGGAAATACCATTTAAATAACCAACCACATTATAAAAACAAAATCCTACAGAGCCCGTTACTTTTTTCTTTTTTTGATAATCCAGGTGTCGGGGCTTACGCTCCCATAATCCTGGAGTATATGAACTACCCTCCAAAGCCCCTAGACAGTTAAATCCGGATCTGATCACAGTCAGCCTCGTCAGTACTGGCTCCAAAGGACAAATCCAGTAGGATTTACATCACCTTTCAGGCTGCTCCTCTCACCACACGAACCCGCTACCATCCTCTCGCTTCTCAGCCGCCGCGCAACTCTTTGAAGGTAGGAAGAATCATTGGGAGCAAGACCTCTCTCATCTTCCCTTGGTGTGAATTGAACCTAAGACCTCCCACAAAAGAGAGACTTGGGAGTGGATAGTCATCTATTGGACTACATCCACCAACCCAAGAGCCCGTTACTTGACTGCTATTCCATGCAAAAGAAAACACACGTACTGTGGCCAGAAAGGGGTGTAAAATGTGATTAAATTTCACACGCCTTAATATAAAGCTACCGATGATATGAAGATTACTTTGTTCATTCAATCTATTGATGTTTTGTGCTCATGTAAAGTGTTTTGAACACTTGCGAGAATAAGTATACATTTTCCGTGTCAGAATTTCTTTGTTGATCAATATTGTCAAGCAACCAATATTATTTATTCTTTTTTGTATTCCAAAAGTTCTACGAGTATTATGATACTTTTATTTTACCTGACGCCGTGACGGTTTCTATTACCCTTGTGTTTTCATTTAACGCTCATTTAACACTTCTATTTCTCATTATCACAAATGATAGATAAATTTTGACCAGAAAATATCTAGTTGGGTAGTAGGTATTTGAGTGAACTTAGGAATGTATACACTCTATTCATTATGCCTGTCCATAACGTGGAAATCCGGTTTTGAGCTATTCGGAATGGAACCACATCCTAATACAGAACTTTCGTTTGATCAAAACTGGAAACATACCTGAACTTGATCTCTGTCTACTCTAACCTTGGCAAGCGGGGTTTGAGATGTTGGACTTTCTTTACAACTCTAGGGACGATATATATCAATACATTCACTGATTCACATAATCACATATATGGAGTTGGTTTACAGTAGTAAACGATACAATTCTTGCATTTAAATCTCTTTAGTAAAAATCTCACGCAGACTTGTTTTTCCAAATTTGGATTGGAACATATGTAGCCCAGTTCCTCCAACCCACCCCAAATCTTGAAATTCAACCTATGATGCACAAATCTTTAGGAAAGGAGGGTTCCCAATTCAGAAACTAATGTAGATTTCAACTCATCATTTTTTTGCGGACAATGAAGTCTTTGATGAACAATGGCAAGTGATAGAGGATTGCTGAAATGGTTGAATAGTGACCGGTTGAGAACCAAGCTGGGGGGTTCCTCTTAAGCACCACTGTCACAGTCCGTTTTGCAAACTCTTCAGTAGAGGTCGCCCCTGGAACCTGGGAGAGGAGGGCTCTTCCTCTAATTGCTGCTTCAAATCTTTTGTAAAACTTCCATTCTGGCATCTGATCATCATACCTCACAATTGCTGAGTTTCCTACATTCGACTTAACTGCTCCAGGAACCACATTGATCACATCAATCCCCAAAGGCCGTAGTTCCAGTCTGCATACAATAAATAAATCAAGAGGTACAGATAGGGGCACACCTAATTTGCAAAAAAAAGACAGCATAAAGAAAACTCGTCGATGATACTATTTAAAAAAATTAGAAATTAAGCTCTATAAAATTATTTAAGGGTGAAGATGCGAAATGGCTTCAGAAAACAATAATTCAATATATTATTATTATTATTATTATTATTCCATAGGTTTCTTAAAATTTATTATATTGAAATTATGGATCATAACATGAGCTCAACAAAACACGAGCATTTTTTGGGTGTTCGACTTTTCAATTCAAATCACAGGTATTAACTATGATGCCTGATGAAGTGAAAACAAAAGCCTTAAAAATTGCATCTGTAGATGGAAATTTCATGTATTGCGGAATTTCCCTACTAAAAGACCCCATCCCACTTCACAATAAGTATCTTTTTAGGAGACATAATTTCTAAAAAATTGCTTTTGGGGGATTTAAAAGTAGAAGTTTACTTTTAACTACTCACCCACAAGGTTTTCACTGTGTTCTTTTTTCACTAACAACACTAATTGATTAAGGATGTATTAGATACTTTGAACTCATTCCATAATATGTGTGTCGCTTTGAGATCAGTCTGGTTTTGCTAACCTTGGTGATTAGTGATGTTCCAATGTTCTCAGCTAGAGGAGAGGATGGCAATACAATCCCACGGGAATGGCTAAAACATACTCTGTATAAAATTATTATTATACCTCAAGGTATCTGTTAAAGAATGTAGAGCAGCTTTGGATGAGCTATAAGCACCAGCCCATGCTCCAGAAACAAAAGCAATACAACTGCCTACATTAACAATCTTTCCCTCTTTCCTGGATGCCATGTGAGGAACCACAGCTTGAACTAACCTCATCGTTCCTACCCATTATAATACAAGACAAGGTCATGCATGCCATAAACAAATCCATTTGAACCAAATAAATTGAATAATAGATTCTACCCACTAAGGAAAGATAGCGCCACTCTGTTGCATCAAAATAAATCAATGAAAGATGGATGAGAAACAAAAGCAATTTGGTTCACTAGCAAACAACATGTCATTAAGGGTGGATTTCTAAAGCTAATTATTCAGCTAATAAGCCATTAAGGCGTATAAGCAGAATAAGCCGATTACGTTTACGGTAAAGAGCCTAAGAGCTCGTTTGGTCAGAGTTATTTGAGTGAAATAGACGAACCAATTGAATTTTCAAAAAGAAAAATAAAACGATTGGTAACCTCCATTTCCAAAAGCTACTCATAAGCCGAAAAAGAAAAATAAGCAAATCATGACTGCCATACAGAGTCTGAGAGTCTAAGAGCCAGTTTGCTCAGAGTTATTTGACTGAGAAAGATGAAACTCTTCAGATTTCTGAAAGAAAAAATGATAAGTAACCTTCTTTGTAAATGAGGCTGGACCTCAAATCTTGGTTCTGACTTCTAAAAACTGTATTTTTATAAAGACAGAAACTTGAAGAGTTGAAGTACAGAATCACACCAAACCTGCTACATACAAGTATATCACATTGGATGGATTAGAAAAACAGCTTACCAAACACATTGGTGTCGAAGGTGTGCTGAATGGTGGATAAAGGGATCTCAGCCAGCGGTCCAATGCTGAGCACTCCGGCGTTGTTTACAAGAACATCGATCCGACCGAACTTCCGGAGAACGCCGGAGATAAGACGCGTCACTGACTGGTCAGACAGAACGTCGAGTTCTTGAGGGTAGAACCGCGGGTCATTCTCAAGATCCTGCATTGCAGCGCGGGATCGAGCCGTTGGCACCACAAAGCAGTTCTTGGAGGCGAACTCGCGAGCCATGGCGTGCCCTATGCCGCCGCTTGAACAGCCGGTTATCACAACCACCGTCTTGCCGGTGTGTTCCATCATAAACAATTAATTAAACAAAATGAAGACAGACTGGCTCTCTTTCTTTCTGCCTCTCTCTGGTTCAACTCAAACCGGGTGGGTTGACATGCAATGTATAGAGCAACATCATTAAATAAATACAAAAACGTTTACCTAACCTCTCTCTTAATAGACACGGCCCCCCAAAAGTAAAAAAATACGTAGTACTAACTTACTTTAAATAGAACTAAAATATGAATAGAATTTCCAAATAAAGTAATGTTTTATACGTAGTACTCCCTCCGTCCTGATATGAATTGCAAACTTTGACCGACACAATGATTAATGAATGACAATAAATGATGTTTGTTTTTTACACTTTTGCTTATCTTTTTAAAGGTAGATGCCTTTAAGTTAGCGGGAAAAAATAAAAATAATGGTAAATTTGTCACTTTATTCTTATTTACATACCTAAAATAGAAAGTGGAAAATCATTTTGGGACAATCATAATAGGAAATTTTGCAAATCAAATTGGGACGGAAGGAGTATATTTTACTCCGTATTACGTAGTACTCCCTCCGTCCCAAAAAGATCGATACATTTTGACTTTTCTTGGTCAATGATGTTTAAGTTTGATCAATGATATCTTTTAATAAAAAATTATTTAAAATATGAAAATTATATGAACATATTCCTTATTAAAAAATCTTACATAAAAGTATAAAATTTATAAATTACAAACAAATACCTAAAATCATTATTTAAACTTTACTACCATTGACCAAGAAAAGTCAAAATCTATTAATCTTTTTGGGACGGAGGAAGTATTATTTTTCTATCCTTTTGTATAATCAAATTCCCAATCTTAATTGAAATCCCTACCTGCTTCCTTCATCCACAATTGAAGCTAAGAGCAACATCAAAGCATCTCTCCGGTGCAATTCCTTCACTAATTTTGATGATTAAATGACAATACAACCATCAAATATTAAAAATAATACTCCGTACATCTATAGCATCATAGTTATCATCAATGATCTCATTATAGAATATATTTGTCAAAACTATTTCTCCAAATGTAATCAAATAACCTTGTTTAATTATTGTCCAAATCACCATGTCATTTTACAATGAAAACTTTTAAACGGGACATATGTAGAGTATCATTTAGAGGCATAATTGTCTCATATCCATGCTACTTTGACTTCTAACAATAGTTGATATTTCGATAAATTCTTTATTGTTTCTTTTCATTGTATATGTGGCCTATATATGTGGCCTATATATCAAATACAAGAGAGAAATTTTGGAGGAATAGAAGATATTTTTTAGCAAGAAAATAAAAAAAATCAATAACGAGACATTGACTTATACTACCTCCGTTCCGGTAGACTTTGCCAAGTACAAAGTAGGTGAGAAATAAGAATAGTAAAAACTGTGTGGTTAAGATTTGTGCAGAGGAGAGAGAAATGTGCAGAACCACAAATTAGTTGCTTTAATAGGAAAGTGACAAAGTTTTTTGGAACAACAAAAAAGGAAAAGTTAGCAAAGTCCAATGGGACAGATGTAGTAATAAATACTCCATCCGTCCCTGAAAATCTTTCCCAGTTTGAGTTGACACGGATATTAAGAAAGTGGAATAAAGTGGAAATGTATGTTTGTGGTCGTGTAAGAAAAAGGTAAAATGAATGTGAACCACACAAATTGTCCAAAAATGGTAAGTGAATAATTTTTTGGAACGACCCAAAAAGAAAAGTGAGAATAATTTTCAGGAACGGAGGGACACATCGTTGCTTACGTGGAGCAAACACCTAGACATTTAACAGATCCAAGTGAACGGAATTGGACCAGTAGTTATACCGTGGAACCGATGCATGGTGAACAACATGCACCCTTTTTATTTTTTGTATCTCCTTTTCTTAAAATTGTTAATAATTTTTTTATTTTTGATCCGATTTTTATAAAATTTATATCAATTTTTTTTTATTTTTCATGATCTTTCAAATGAGACCAATATTGCCGATGTAATTTTAACATATTAACATTTTCGTGTAAAAATATGTAATTTAATTTTTGTCTCAATATTTTATGTGATGTAAATCCTATGTATTGAAATTTAACTTGTGTTGTTATAAAATGTAATCTCAGTTAACTACAAATGTAACTCGTTGCCTGGATATAACTCATATTACATCCTCTAGTGGTTCTCTCACCTTTTATACGAAATGTAAACCGCGTGTTACAAGATGTAACTTTTATCAAATTGATATGTAACTCGAGTGTATCCAAAATGTAACTTGAGAAATTTCGAAGTTGTAAGGTGCGTTAATTAAAAAGTTAATTCATGGAAATCGAAAATGTAAATCATGTTAATCAAAATGTGACTTGATGTTGATACAAATGTAAATTGCATATATATGTAACTTTACGTGTAAATATATGTAACTCGCATTCAGGCAGGTCAAATGCAACTCGTGTGTATATATATGTAACTCACGTGTAGAAATATGTAACTTACGTGTAAAAATATGTAACTCACATGTAACTCAATGATTTTTATATACACAATTTTAAGATAAATTGTGATTTACACAATTATTTTTTTGTATTAAATTTAGTTCGGTTTTCCTTATAATCCAATAATCATTTATATAATAGTTCCATAATTTGTTAAAATTACATAAGCAATATTGGTCTCATTTGAAAGGTCGTGAAAAATAAAAAATGTTGATATAAGTTTTACAAAAACCGGATCAAAAATAAAAAATTTATTACCATTTTTTAACAACAAAAGCAAAAAAAAAAAAGGCTAAAGGGTCAAATAGGTACATGAACTAACTTAAAGTGTTCAATTAGCCCTTATATAAGAGGTTCTGCTCGACCGTCGCCAATTGGGGCGGTTCTCGGTAGAATTTTTTGATGAATGTTTTTTAGCATCTTCTTCATTAAGTCTAGTTTACCCATACCAATTTTCAGATAAAAATGCAACCGGGAAGGCAGTCAAAAAATTTTACGCAGTACATTTCGGAAAATCATTTGACAGCCTTCCCTATTTCATTTTTAGCTGAAATTTGATATGGGTAAACTAGACTTAATGAAAAAGATGCTCAAAAAAATTCATAAAAAATTACATCGGGAACCGCCCCAATTGGCGACGGTCGGACAGAACCTCCTAAATAAGGGGTTAATTGAACACTTTAAGTTAGTTCATGTACCTATTTGACCCTTTAGCCAAAAAAAAATCAGGCCAACCGTTCTCATTGTTACGTCGTTTTGCAACCGGGCGCACCATCCTCTCGATGCGCCGGTTGCAGGATATAATTTGGGGTAATAGTCGTTCTGTCTTGAATACCGAAAAGGCGGTTTTTTAATAACTATGTATACGATGGACTAATAATATACTCCGTATTTGATTGTGTTGCTTTGTACTACCTCCGTCCCAAAATAAACTTCCCATTTCGGATTACGATGCTTGACTGACGATAAAGCAACTCGATCTCTGATCATACTCAGATTACTTTTAGTAAATAAAATTTACATATTGAGAAACTACATTAAAACCGCTACAAAGGTTGATAAAAAAAATAAAAATTTGATAAAAATTTGTTATATAAAACATAAGATTAAGAGTAATTTAAGTTAACCATGTGAATAGTGACTGTGAAGTCCATTTTGGGACGGAGGGAGTATTATTTATTTTTGTATTTGTGTGTTCAGTAGATTAGTTATTTGCTTGAATCCGATTATGTATTTGGGCCCCTAAGTCTGGTTTTATACGAAAGCTTAACTTTGAACTATTATAGATAATGGACCGGATCCGGATCAGAACGTAGTGTCCCAGACCCGGACCCGCTAAGTTAATAATGGACCCGGACCCGACCCGTTTACCCGGCGGGTCTGAAAATTTGGACCCGGACCCAGTTCCAACGGGACTCGGAATCGGGTCGGGTAGACCCGCCCACCAAGTATGATACGCACACCATTATAAACTTTGTGAAAATAGCAAAACATATATGTGAAATATACAACAAAGTGTGTACAAATTTAAAAGCAAAATATATCTTTACTTTTCAAAAAAAAATCAAGATCTCTCATAGAAAATTAGTACTTTTATCTAATAAAGTATCGGTTCTTGTACAAGCATATAGCTCCACACTTTGCGCCGCTTCTCTCGCACAAAAAACTCGTAGAATAAACTAGAAATTAAGTCATTAAAAAGTCTCTTGGACTACTAAGAGTATAAAATCATATGTAATATTATATATGATAATGATATAATAATATCAATAATAATAGTAATAAATATTGGTTTTAGGGTATCTTACTATATTGATCATTATCACTTATATACTCCGTAGTATTTATGTATTAATGTGTATCTTTTTATTGAATAATCACAAATTCACAACTAATAACTTTATGTATTATTATGTATATATGTATATTAGTTTCTATTTTATTTAAAGTTTCATAACAAATCACTTGATGTTTGAGTGTATGTGTATACAAATAAGAAATTTTAAACGGGTTCGGGTCTTTAACGGGTTAGAATCATATGTACTATACCCATCCGTTTATTTAAAATACTAACGGGTCCGGATCCGGGTCCGAGTAAAAGGAATAAAATATAGACCCATACCCATTAAAAACAACCGATCTCTGTCAATAATAAGTTTATTGACAGTAAATAAAATTTACATATTTAGACACTACATTAAAAGTTTTATAAAGTCACAAAAAATTAAATTTGATAACAGTTGAATATATAGAGAAATTAAATGAAAAGAGATAATTAATTGAAGGTGTTTTCGGAAGAAAATTAGATCATCCCGGGAATGTGAGATAACCTAAGGTATGGATTGGTTTAAGATTCCCATCCATATAACATTCTCGAGAATGTAACTTTCCCTATTTTTATAGAGCTGAAGTGTAAGCTTTAGTAAAACACATACCTTAGTAAAACACATTTAAAAATAGGGAAAGTTACATTCTCGAGAATGTTATATGGATGGGAATCTTAAACCAATCCATACCTTAGGTTATCTCACATTCCCGGGATGATCTAATTTTCTTCCGAAAACACCTTCAATTAATTATCTCTTTTCATTTAATTTCTCTATATAT